TCGTCAACCTGAGAAGAAATGTAGGCGTACTGCTGTAAGTCCTACAGTTCTTCAAGGGTAGCTCGTCAAGGCAGAATCCGCAATATTTGATGTATTGATTGTACATATGTTTGTGTTGAGTAATTAAGTGGGTGCCGATTCATCTGATTGTCGGTTAATTTTATAGTTGTCTCATTGTGTGAATCATCTTGTAATGTTTTGTAAGCACTTCTGAATTCCCTTCTAAACTTGTGAGTGAATCGTGTGATGTTAGAGTCAGCGTACGCGATTGGATACGCCGGGGAGAGGATTGGACTAGAGTGGAATGAAGCAATCGATACTTTATGAACGAGATCAGTGGTGGTATTGTCGTCAGAGAGCGTAGACCCTATGCGCCGGGGAGAGAGTGTCGGTGTGATGTGGTATGTTTGCTGTGTGTTGGGCTTTTTTGTCTTGCTTTTCCATTTTTAGCCTAGTCCCGATTGGCCCAGGTTCCCGCATTGGCAGTTCAATTCAAGGTTACCGCCGCTATGGAAAAAAGGGATGGACCCTTTTTTGCCGGGGAGTGTCAATGGACGTGAACATTGAACGTTTGTTTTACTGGGTCTGGCAGCCATTGGCAGGCCATTGAAGGCGCGAATGGAACGATCTCTTGCAAGTTGAAAGAAGACTGGAATTAAATACGAATAAAAGTACTTTATAACTTCATTTGTACATAACATTTGTTTGCAGACTTTGTAGTTTTCTTCAATTTAATTGCCAAACAATATAATTTCGTTCAAGGAATACTGGTGTTTTGGATTTAAAGTTGAAGAAAGCGCATAGTATTTATCGGCTCAATCGCTTAAGTCTTCATTACGATAGGAACTTAGGGCTAAGTTCCTTGACAACTGTGATGCACAAACTTATTGTTAGTTGATTTCGTCATGCACTGTCACTCAAACCTGCGTGTGTTCTTGCACATTTATCACGTATTTCCTTATGACAATGTTTGAATGAATGGAAGTTTTAGATGCCTGGTGTGGTGTGGTGTGCAGTAGGAACACATCTCAATTAGAAATTTGAATGAAATAAAAAATCATTTGCGTGGGTGAACAATCGCACAGGATTTCGAAGCATATTCATTGTGAAATGTAACAGAATGAAACGACAGTAATACGTTCATTGCTGATTCGATTCATTTGTGTATCACGCTGCAGTTTTTTCAAGCTCCATCCTTGTTAAGCCTAGAATGAAAGTCTGTTGTGAATTGTAGCAGCGACTCTTCCAAATTCTCATTCGTCATCCGTAAGTTAGTTGCACTGTCTACAAACTGGTCATATTTATACTTGAATGTTTGAACAAATGAGGCACTGGTAGGGGTGATAGATTGCTGCACACAATCTTTTGTGCAGAAGCTGAGCACTTCAAGTGCACTGGGAGACACTCTGATTGGAAGGATGTTGTTCGCATAAACATTGCGGCGAATATGCACTGTGCGTAAATGGAGCGGGCATTCAAAGTGTTATGTCATACAGTGCAAAGCAATAAAAATAATAAACAAATATATACATATATATGTGAATATATATATTCGGCAGATGTGATATTCAATCACTCTACAAAACGAATCATACTGGGTGACTGCTGACAGTCATTCTACTATGCGAGGTAGAGTCCGTTCGGAAGCAATATTCGTGTTGCCAATAAACAAATATAATATAATGAGAAATAAGATGAATGTTGTAAGTCAATAAGATGGAAAATTAGTTTGCTCGTATTGGCTAGAGTGAACCGATTCAGTCCAATGACTCGCATAATATTGACGTCCATTTGACAGAGAGGCAGTCGAATATAGACATAAGATTCTTTCCAAGTCTATGTCGTTCATTTCACATCCAGTTGATTTCTAAGTAGAGACGTCCTTTGACTTATTACCGACAGAAGTTGGAACATGTTAGCAGAAACCACTGAAACTCTTCTCGTACAATTTATTGATTCATGTGTTCCATTGTCTCTTTTTCTTCACCTTTCGCCACTTCTCTTCACTCGACTACTCAATCATAAGTGCGAAAAACACTACATTGGCCAAAGTGGACGTCCCCTTCGTCTTCGGATCCACGAAAATAAGCTAGCTGTCAAAAGACATGATATCCACTCCTTCATATCACTACATACAGACAACCACGGACATCAATTCGACTGGGACAATGTTCAAACATTAGACAGACGAAATAACAAGAATGCTACAGAATTTTTAGAAGCTTGGCATTCCGGTGAATCATCAATCAATAGACACATCGAGACAGACAAAATTTATCAACCGATAAGAAAAAAACCTTACATACAAAGGGTCAAAGTTCAAGTCAAAGAAACAATGACTGACAATACAAGTAACCTAGAAGGTGTGAAAACACACGAAAACAACCACTCACGTCCAAGGTAACTGGGAGAGATGATTAATAAACTCGTGGAGAAATCTAAAAGCTCACTTCAAATTGAAGTACACGCTGAAGGGCGTCTAGTAGGGCGATGAAAGCTTCGTAAATTAACTATCCAGCTCAGAGAAAACAACCATATCAAAATCGTAACCTTCATCATCTTCTATAGAAAATCGAAGATTGTTAACAGTCAGCGATAGTGGTGTGCCTACGACTCAACTGACTGACACTGACATCGATAGGCATCCTAATTCTTGTAAGCGGTTTGCTGAAGCTGTCTATCTAATTGATAAAATTCTTTGTACTAAGAAATATTTTCTCGTTTCTCTTCTGGTAAGATATTTCATAGGAATTTTCGCTCGTAAGACAACATTCCGAAATTCCCCATCACCATATGCAGGTTGCGTTCTTTATGAAGAGGTAAATGTCAGGTTGTATCTCATAAACCCTCGAAATCAGTAACCGATCTACAAAGAATGAGAAAAGATTATGATTACATGTATTACCAATTAAAACGTCTACTTATATATCATTACGTCCCACTTATGGTCAGTTTGTGCTGTTTAACTACTTATTTGAAACTTTATGTGTATTTTCATGTTTTATTAAAAGGAGAGCTATTTCTGCAATGTGTAAAATTGGGTTGAAATCTTTATTCTATATGAAAATAATCGTATGCTTTCTACGTATTCTCAATATCGGTATTACTTCCACATAAGCTCAAATAATAAAATGGACTGCACGCTCATTTGTCTCATGAGCAGTTTTATGTTTCGCCTATGTCTCTGATGCATGACGAGTATCGATGAATGAGTGAATGATTGAATAAACACAATGGATATTTATCAATAATGTCACACTTCATCCAAATTCTCGAATGTTTTCATCTACTTATGGAGAGTCTAACAAATGCTATACAGTTGTCCCACATGCAACCATTTGCGGAGCTTTGTTTGTCCTTCTGGACAACATCTTCAGCCTGTGGTTGTGTGTGTTAACGCATGCAGTACAATTGTTCAGATCATTTCGAGATTATTTAATTTGAATTTCGACACATTCTCATCGATCATATTGCATGAAACGTCATATTCATAAATGCGTGATTCACAAATTCACTCGATGCACCGAATAATAAATTGCATGACGCAGATAAACTGACCACATTATTCGTGATTTTTTCTATTTACAGCATATTCTCCGACTATATATAAGCACGCACTTCTCACTTGTTGACATCGATTTGCATCGAAATCACTGACAGACAGGCATCCTAGCATGACCTTCCTCTTTGCAGTAATATGTGCAGTGTGCATGAAGACAGGCGAGCCAATCAGGTAGTCAATCACACATCATCTCATTCGAATTCCAATACATTCATTCGCATATTCTCCTGAATATCCTCACCGAAATAGTCCCACCCAACATGAAATACTTAATCACTATTCCACTTAACTGATGTTAGCTGCATCAGCGTCAACGTTGAAATTTCATCGACCACATTACCATCCATATCACCAGAATCAACACCAGAAGGACGTCACCATAACACACATATACCCACGCACGAGGTTACATATAATGACCAACATACTTTAATTCATCTCGTCAGTAATGCTTATTCTCTTGTTTCACTTTCACTTCATTGCAGGCTCTGATCAGTCGACAGTGTTTGCTAAGTGGATTGATTCATGTGAATCAAGAAAGCACCACTGCCCGCCTCTACCTTGTTTTGGACAACAGTGTACGGATGAATCGGGTAAGGCGCTTGCATTAAACCTTGTCAGAACTGCGAAGCTTGATTCGAGGGTTGAAAAGATTGGATGGTGAAAGCCACTTTGGATAAGATGGCATCTTTATTATTTCCGATCTGCATTGACACCATTTAAGATCATTACTGCCTTCGACAGCATTCGAGGTTTCTAGTCTGTAACAGATCATTCAAATTGATTCGATAAATACATAATGTGCACTAAATTTCATCTGTTCTCTGTTATCGCTTCACGTGTGTGAATGTTCATTCACCTGTTGAGACATGGTGTTTTTCCGATTTGGGTGTCCAACTGGCTTCCTCATTCTTTCCAGTAGTAAGTCCGTTTGTATTTTCGTAACCTTTAGTATCTGCACTGGATTTTAAAGTTTCGGCTTCTGCGCGTTTCCGGTGACAGACAGTATACGCATTCAGGAAACTCTCATAAACACAACAAACAGTATGATACAATTCGTCTACGCAGTATCAGCTCGTTGTTGTATGGAGCATGGAAGAGAAGAGCAACATTTAATTATTTGTTCCACACGTTTCGTTCATATGACGACACGTTGAACTCCAGCTGAAATGAGGTGAAGTGAAAAGTAAACAGTATTAAATCAACGAGCATTATTATTCCCACGTTGGATGAAGGGTCAGATGAATGAATGAATGAATGAATGAAAGGACGTCTGTGAGTATCTTTCGATGTGTGTATGTGTGTAGGTGTCGATATGGGTCTCTGCTAACTACAATGATGATGACATTGATGATCAGATGCAGATAATGAATGAGGATGTAAAGTTCTTTGGTAATTTGATTGTTGGGAATTCGCATTTCTGCAGCGGATGCAGATAATGTGGGTCAAGTGGAATGATGATGATGATGATGATGATGATGATGATGATGATGATGATGATGATGATGATGATGATGATGATGATGATGATGATGATGATGATGATGATGATGATGATGATGATGATGATGATGATGATGATGATGATGATGATGATGATGATGATGATGATGATGATGATGATGATGATGATGATGATGATGATGATGATGATGATGATGATGATGATGATGATGATGATGATGATGATGATGATGATGATGATGATGATGATGATGATGATGATGATGATGATGATGATGATGATGATGATGATGATGATGATGATGATGATGGACATGTCGATTTCAGCAATGATGGTTTGGTGATCATGCAAATGGATGTATTGGAATTCGAATGAGCTTGATAATTATTTACTAAGAAATATTCTCTTCACAAAATATTCCGTTTTCAGTTTCTACACGTCACAATTTCAATTTAGCATGCATTCACAATGTCTGTAAGTATCCACCTATCACTTCAGTGTTATCACATCTCTTGTGTTTCAAGCTATTCTCTATAACACTAGTGTGACTTGATATTTGCCACTCCACTTCCATCAGTTTGTTTGCTAGTCAAAACTGAACTCACTCAATCCAGTACTACTCGATTTGATATCTGAGAAGTAGTTAATTTCAGATAAATATTAATCGGCTGTCTATACGTAATGCACATACTCTTCACTCCTGAACACCGTTCATTGTAATCGCCTTAATCGATGTCTGCAATTCATGATTTGTACAATTTCATATTGAGCATTGCGACAGTGCTCGGAACCACTGCAATATGCCTAGGTTACCATTTAAAAAGTTGAATGCATTGAAAATTCGATTCTGTATATATATACACACATTATTCAGTCTGTCAACATAAAGTTCATTCCGCTGGTGATACATTCAACCATGGCTAAGAAATATCGATTATGATTCAATCCCTGAAGCATTTAAATTGCTGAATTTGTGGAAATCTCACGAGACGAATGCTCCACGTTCGCATTCATATCATGTTCATATAAAGCTTCGATTGAGACTCATAATGAGAGTGAGACTCATAATGAGCATACTTATTTCAAGGATGGTGAAACAAAAGATACCCCAGTGCATCGATGAGCAACAAAAACAGAATTTAAATGCACACTATAAGACACTGAACAACGGAGACAGAGCTACCGGTGAACATCAACCCCCCGACGAAGTCAGAAGTCCTGAAGGCAATCAAGATGCTAAAAGTTGGAAAAGCAGCAGGACCAGATGGATTCCCAGCAGAAGCATTGAAAATTGATCCAGGGACAACAGCGGAGTTGATTACGCCACTGCTGGAAAAGGTGTGGATAGAAGGCGAAGTACCTTAAGATGGGAAGAAAGGATACTTATTCAAACTACCAAAGAAAGGAGACCTAAGTCAATGCAAGAACTGGCACGGAATTATGCTCCTGTCCATCCCAAGCAAAATACTAAGCCGCATCATCCTGGAGAGAATCAAACATGTCCTGGATGAAAAACTTCGACCGGAACAGGCTGGATTCAGGGGAAACAAGTCATACATTGATCAGATCGCCACATTAGGGATCATCTTTGAGCAAAGCTTAGAGCGGCAGTCACCTCTCCATCTCAACTTCATCGACTTTGAAAAGGCCTTCAACAGCGTTGATCGAGAGGTGATTTGGGAACTACTTCGCTACTACGAGGTGCCACCGTTAATTACACATCTCATCCAACAGTTGTACGATAATTCTGCGTGCCAAGTAATCCACAACGAGAAACTTACGAAATCCTTCGAAGTGAGGACAGGAGTAAGACAAGGCTGCCTATTATCGACAGTGATTTTCCTGATAGCAGTAGATTGGTTAATGCAACAAACAGTGGCAATGAGGAAACAGGCATAAAATGGACTCACACAAAAAACTTGGAGGATCTGGACTTCGCCGATGATATATGTCTGATCTCCTACAAACTGGAAGATATGTAAGCGAAAAGCAAAATGTAAGCAGAAGAAGGATCAAAGATAGGACTTCAGGTGAACATAGAGAAAACAGAGGTGATGAAGATTCCTGGCCAACTCCACCAACAGCAAAAACAACTACAGACAACAATCAGCATAAATGGGAGGAATCTGAAAGAAACAACATCCTTTGTCTACCTGGGAAGCATCGTTTCAACTACAGGCGGACATAACTGACGAGGATATCAAAGTGAGAGTCGGAAAGGCAAGACAAGCTTTCACTACTCTCAAGTCTGTGTGGAGGTCAACAACACTCAGCATCGAAAATAAGATCCGGATTTCCAACTCCAATGTGAAGTCAGGGCTACTATACGGATCAGAGACTTGACCAGTGCGTCATAAAGAGCATCTCAAACAAACTATAGACCTTCATTAACAGTTGTCTTCGCTCAATACTCAAGATCAGATGGCAGGCCAGAAAAGATCAGCAACAGAGATCTCTGGCAATGAGCGAACCAACCCAGCAGGAACCGATTGTGAAACAAATATACAGGAAGAAATGGAGATGGATTGGCCATACTCTGAGGAAACAATGCATTAAGTGACATCACTAGACAAGCCATTGCTCGAGTGGAACCCGGCCGAACGGGAAGCGGCGACTTGGTCGTCAGTGCAGGGGTGACTTGAGGAGGTCATGTGAAGAGGGGATGAAAACGTGTGGGCAGACATGGAGCCAGGTGAAGACTCTAGCAGAGAACAGAACGCAATGGAGACGCACGGCTGAAGCCCTATGTTCCTCTAGGAATTAAAGGATACAATAATAATAATAATTTTACATAATGAGTGTGCATCATTTCGAATTATTTGAAATCCTACACTCAAACTGAAGGTGTGGCTATTGTGTCAATTCTACAACAAATTCCAGTAAACATTTGCTGATTTAAGCAAATAATGAACACTCATAGCTGTGACTGATGACGTAGAATTCCATTGTCGATAAGTGTCTGTCACACTTTTCTGATTAAGAGAAATGAGAATGACGGCAAGAGCATGAAATGTCGACGATCTAAATTGTAAAAGTGAATGATTCTTCGCTGAATCAACGTGTCATCTCTCGTGACTACATGCGCTGTTTCAATCAGTCAATAAGGATGAAGATGCGTCAGATGACATCGTTAATCGAATTCACATGCTCAAATCTCCTGAGGCTAATTCAATTCCTAAACTATCACGACACAACGTTCTACCGAATTACCATGTGAAAGAAGTAGTACTTGCGACAAGGATTTGAAAACCCACCTAGCTCACTAGCTTGGACGTATTCTGAGTGGCTTTAGGCCTGAGAAATTATTGAGAGCCGTTGGTGGCGCCAATGACATTGTACTGTAAGACAACACAATTGAACTGCATTGACAATAATAATATTAACTTCACTGAATTTCCGTTGCACTCGAGAAGTCGATGTAATGTGGGCTGGAGAAAAGCTTCTTGAAGCCAGCTAGTGTATTGTTTCTATGGAAAGAAATTATGGATGGAGAATCAAAATGCCCGTACAATATACTGAATCTTCTCAGATAGCAGCAACGAAATGAGATGATATATATTTTCGGAGTGCAGTGAGAGTATGTGTGCCATTTCAAGTGGAGAGTAGGTTATATTCCTCCTGCAGCTTAAGACATCAAAGTAAGAGGTGATAAACGACTTGTGTGTTCGCAAAGGCTCTGCAATAAATAGTGTTCTTTGAGCTGGTTGGTTTTGTTGCAGAGCTTTCATCGTCCTTCTGGACAACACATTCAGCGCAATATTTAGCACAAAAATAAAGAATGAGAATTTTTTATGAGCGATCTAATTGCATCTCCCGGTAACCATCTTTACAAATATTTTAATCATTTTCTATCGTATTGGATTTTAAACTTTCTAGCCGTCGGAAGCTCTTGCTCTGCTTCATTGAGTCATGAAGGAAATAAAAGACAAATTCAGCGAAGAAATTTTTCTTTATCGACGAAATCATCTTCAAGGGCTGTACAGTCACATTTAAACTTACAAAAATATACAGTGGTCTATTGTTGAGTAATAGGAGGTGACATAATTGAAATAGTTACTCAGGAGTGACTTTAGAAGTGAAAATTAAAAGTTGTAAATTACGTGGCACTCAATGGAACAAAGATAGAAATTTGGTAAGCTTAAAATTGCTATTGAGTCAGAATAAAGGTATTTGAATGTCAATTTAACAATTGTCAAGAGAGTGTGAAAATATACAAATGGAGAATATGAGAGTGATAATAGTGAATTAATTATTAAAGCAAAAGCAAACAGGGAACGATTAGTGAGAAGGTTAAGACGAAGGTAGAATAAGTGACTGGACAAACCTTTTCCGTTTACAGAGTTCACGGTTGTATTGATGAATTGCCAGTGCCTCCGCCATACACAAAAGCTGAAATCTGACTCCCTTTGTACCATTTGGCTTCACTTTGTAGATGATCTTAAAAGACGACTCCATTGGAGCTACGTGGCCTGAGTTCACCAAATGCTTGAGAATTGAGCTAGTGATTGTCTTACACTGTCCCTTTGCTAACCATGCCGGATAATGTTCAGAGATGCGTTTGGAAAGCGTGCGCTTCGTGCGACCAATATGACTAGCTCCACACGAGCAGGTGAATTAATAAACACACCTTGAGGTGGCCCAAAGTAGCAGTTTATCCTTCACACATCTGTTGATCAGTTTTCGGCTGAAGAAACTGATACGTAGCTCAGCCATAAAGAAGGCTTTCCTCAGTGATACGCATAATCATTCTTTGTCTATAAATCATGTTGTTGAACTTGAACTGGACATTTAAAGTGCACCTCAATTGTAGTACCTTTCAGTAGTGGATCGGAACACAACGTCTACATTATTATCCTCATTGAATTTGCATATAAAGCATATAGTTTCAGTGAGAGGAACGTTCGTGAAAAACGAAGTAACATCCCGGATACATTAGCATCACTTATTGAATCGACGGATTTAAACGAATCAGAAACACTATGCATGCAGAGGTTGTTTCTGATAGGTATTAGGATTTCTGCGAGCCATTTGAGGGTAGCATCATATGTAGTATTTGTCATAACCAAGATTGGACGAAGTGGCACGTTCTCTTTGTGCACTTTCGGCAGACCGTATAAACGAGGAATCACGGAACCAGAGGGTCGTAATTGCTCGAATAATTCAGAGCTGAGAATCGATCAATTCTTCATCTTCTTCAGCATTTGATTAAGCTTGTCACTGAACGTACATATACGTGAAGCGATAACAGAGAACTGATGAAATTGTTTATCACAAATAAAATAATGCAGTTCGTATGATACTCATGTCAGAAACTAGGAGGAGGACTACAAGCTAACATCTTCTGAGTTGCAGTTACAAATAATAATTGAGTTTCA